TGGCTTGGCTCCCATGTAGAGAGAACCATCTCTTCCACCAAGAATGGATCCATTCATATGCATTTGTCACAACTGATAATACTTCACGCTTCAGGTTTCTGTAAGAAGTAGAGTGGCAGAGTGGCAGAGTGGCATGTGTGTTTGTATATCTCTTATATATTTATATATATTTATATTTATTAAATTTTTATATCGCTCCCTCTCCCGAAGGACTCGGGGCGGTGAACAGCCAAGATTAAAAAACATACAATATAAACATTAAAATACATTTAAAACAAAATTAAATCCAAAATGGCTCCCCAATTTAAAATGTCTTACCCATAACCCTATAATTAAAACAAATTTAAAATTTCCACATTTAAAAGGGAGAAGATTTAGGCCAGGCCAGCTTGATGAAATAGAAGAGTCTTAAGCGCGCGGTGGAAGGTGCGCAGATCCGGGATCCTCCGTATCTCCGGGGGGAGCTCATTCCAGATCGTAGGTGCCCCCACAGAGGGGGGCACCTACGATTATTTTAAGATTATTTTAGTCTGTGGGAGCAACTTCCCTCATGACATCAAATTGGGACCTTCCTTCCTGGTTTTCTGAAAGCTTTTCAATAGTTGGGAAATTTGGGGGATAATGTTGTTAGATAAGGAGGCACCTTTTACTGTTATTTATTTTATTAATATTTTATTCTATTTTATTAATAATTTGTGGAATATTTTGTTTTTGCTTCCTATAGTTGTTTCTATATGGTTCTTTTTATTGGTGTAAACTAGTGGTAATCATGGATTTGAAGGTGTATAAAAATGACAAAAAATTAAGTGAATTTAGATCATTCTAACGATTTCATTTTTTTGTAGATGACAGGTTTTTTTGTAAACATTGTATGATTCTAATTGTGGATTCTAACTGTGAGCATACTCCAGCCAAAATTGAACCCTTAGTCCTATTCATTTCACTCACAATATTATGTTAAGATGACATTAGAAGGGCTTTAAAATGCGTATTTTTATGTTGTCTATGGAATATATAGTGTAATTCCTTAAGGATAGGAAATATAACAGGATGCTCTACACAGACGAAGTACAATAGTTATTTATTAACCTTGATACTGTCATAATTTATTTTAATATCAGAGCCTGCAAAGGCTAACTCTCCAATGGAATGAAACATTTCTGCTTTGTACACAGAATTCTATGAAAACAATATTCCTCATTCAATTAGAGCTACAGATGTATCAATATATACTGTATTGATGTACACTGAATTTTGGCAGATAAAATTATGATGGTCGTGGAACAAGGAAATTAAAACTATATGCTGTGGTTCTCTTCCAAACTAGACTAGCAATCATACAAGGAACATTTATAGTGTGATGATCTGACATACCTGAAGCCTCCTCACTTAACTTACTTTGAATTACCGTTTAATTACGTAAATGTCACTCATGAAGATTCAGTTAAAATTTTGCTTCCTGGTACAATTTGATGTGGCTCCTGCCCTCTGGAGCATCTTATCCCCTGACGTCAGATTGGCTTCCACCCTCCTGATGTTTCGTAAGAGCTTTAAAACCCATCTTGGGGATCCAATGGGGGAGCTTCATACTGCAGGTGGTTGACTAATTGAAAATTAATCCCTCCCCACCCACTATGTGTCTGGGTCCCTCATTTACACCCTTGTGTTAATGATTTTATTTGTTAATGATTTTATCTGCTGTGTTCTATGATGGTTGATTTTAATATTTTTTAATCTTTTAATATTTTTATGTTGTAAGCCACCCAGACTTGTTGGATACGAGATGTGTGGCAAATCAATTTCATAAATAAATAAATAGTCAAACTAGTTATAACGTCTGCATTACTATTAATCTTTTCATCGTTCCTATCACCCATCTCCTCACACTTATGACTGTATGACTGTAACCTTGTTGCTGGTATCTTTATGATATAATTTATATTGACTGTTTCCTAATATTATTTGATTGCTTATTTGTTCCCTATGACTATCATTAAGTGTTATACCTTGATCAATGTATCTTTTCTTTTATGTAACACTGAGAGCATATGCGCCAAGACAAATCCCTTGAATATTCAATCATACTTGGCCAATAAAGAATTCTATTCTATTCTATTCTATTCTATTCTATTCTATTCTATTCTATTCTATTCTATTCTATTCTATTCTATTATTCTATTCTAAATAAATCAACGAAAAAACTTGTGTGCTGTACAAGGCTGATGCAACCTCTATGTCATGAATTAATTCCCATATCAGAATTCTCATCTTTGTAAATCAACATTCTTTCGATAAACCACGTAAATATTCACTATCATGGTTGAAGGACTTGTTCTGTATAAGAATGAATGGAGATATCAATACTTAAAATGTGGGGTTCTTAGTGCTCTCTGGGCTTGCTTGTTTTCTTGCAGATGTTTCATTACCCTAACTAGGTAACATCATCAGTGCTACGGTAGTAAGGAGTGCTGTTTGCTGTCAGTTTATATTCTGGTGTCTTGCCTGCCTGTGTGGGTGGACGCGGTCTTAGAGATTCTTTGGTTGGGCTGTTTACTGATGACTCTTTGGCAGTTTCTTGATTGGGGTATTGCTTACTTGACTGTTGGCCTGAAGTTAACCTTGGAGTTAATCTATGATGATCTGAGTGCTGATTACTGGTGGAGTCTTTTTCTCTTTGGGGCTGGTTGATTGTCTCTTTATATAAGGATATAAACTGACTGTCGAGCAGCAAATCTCCTCGACACAGCACCATTATGATGGACCTGATGGCATAAAACCTTACCCATGAAGGGGAGCGTTGTTCAGGATGACACCCGGATTAAGCGACGGAGCATGGTGGAGGGGATTGTGCGCATAGGAAACACATTGATAGTGATTGGTGACGGGCGGTATGGGAAACAGGGAATCGGGAGGGAAACAGGCAATCCAAAGAGCGACGGCAACGATAGCTGATGACATCATCTACCAGTGTCTCCAGCCCTTCGAATGGGAGGAAGCGGGCGGCACATTCAAATATACTACAGTTGTAGCTCATCCTATGACGCCAATAAAAACGCAGTGGCGGAGCAAACAGCCAACTCGGTCTTTGAGCTGAAGTCACAGCGCCAGTGTTTTCTGTAAACCATCGCGTTAACCAAGATTAAAACCTGGGTTGTATTAGCCGATCCATTGTGTGTGTCGTGCATTACCTGGCTTCGGACAGATGGTTCCTGAAGTGCTGAGACTGACAGCAAATAGCATTCCTTACTAGCACTGATAATGTTACCTAGATAGGGTAATGAAATGTCTTCAAAAAAAACAAACAAGCTCAGAGAGCACCAAGGAGCCCTCATTTCAACCCTGAGCTACAAATATTCTCCTTTATTGGTAATACTTAAAATGCCAGTCTTCAAAAATGGTCTAATTTTTCCAGCAGCAGTTTATCCAGAAACTCTACTCTCCAGAATATTTCATTGACATATTGATATATCTCAGCAATTTAACCATTATTGGTAAAAAAAAATAATCAAGCATTGTTCAGGCATGACAAATTTTGTTAGGAATCTGAGACTCTGTTGGAGCTCAACAATATATTTTCATTTGAGTGTTGATGAAAAAAATTCCAGAGTTTCACCTGAGTTCTCCAACATGAATTATTTTGGAATTGAGCATTACAATGTTCTACATTCTATGTACATTTTGAAATGAATTTATTTAAACTAAACAAGAACTATGATTGAAAAGTTGACTAAAAATTAGGATAGAAATGAGCTCTATGGAAGAGGTAGTATCAAACTGCTTAGCAATTCTTTGAGAAAATAATGTTTGGCCTATTCTTACAAAATATCACATCTTAAGTTAAGTAAGAACAAGGATAAATACTTAGCAGAAGCACTGAGAAATATGGTTTGAGTAGTAAGATGTTTTGTGAGGATATGTGTTAAATATTTCAGAGAATACATTAATGGAGTGATGCAATAAAATATTCAGGGTGTATGATACGAATGCATAACCTTCAAAGAGGGGTGTATGAGAACCTTAATAATCATTAATTCAGTACGAACTGATCCGACATTCATAAGAAATAATTTATGCTTATTCCTAATTTTCCTAAGTGATCCCCAAAAGCTGAAAACTGTAAAGTTTTCTTGGACTCAAGTTTGACTTCTGATAAATTACTGGTAGTCCTCAACTTACAACAGTTCACTTAAGAGACTGTTCGAAGTTACAACGGCACTGAAAAAAGTGACTTGTGACCATTTTTCACACTTATCATAGTTGTAGCATCCCCATCGTCACATGATTTACATTTGGATGCTTGACAACTGGTTCACATTTATGACGGTTGCAGTGTCCCCATTTGCGACCTTCTGAAAAGCAAAGTCAATGGAGAAACCAGATTCACTTAACAACCATGTGACTAATTCAACAACTGCAGGGATTCACTTAACAAATATGGCAAGAAAAGCCGTAAAATGGGGCAAAACTCACTTAATAAAATTCTCACTTAACATAAATTTTGGGCTCAAATTGAGGACTTGTTGTTTTCTTAACAAAAATGCAGAAATGTAATGTTTGTTTTCCTTTTGTTTGTATGTTTGTGTCTCCGTGTTTGTGTGTGTCTGCTACATGTTTACAACTAAGACTATTCCAAAATCCAGTCTAATCCCAATGTACACTTTTGTGATGATTTCTCATGTAAGTAGCAGATGTGACTAAAGTCAGCTAGAAGGAAATAAAGCCGAACATGAAAACAGTGGAGAATATAAATGCACGATATAGCATTTAACGCTTAAAACACTTTTTGTGCCTGATTTTTAAGGACTTAACCATAATAGGAAATATGTCTCCTCCTTGAATTAGTGAATTTGTGCCAGAGTTGACTACTTCCTTACTACTTTCAATCTTAAAATAGCTTTATAATAATATGGTAATGATGCTACATTTCCCCCCCCCCAGTTTTTAAGCTACATAATTTACCTATTGGTGACAACAAATCTAAATTGTGCATTAATACTTACCCCTGGAGTGCTTTTTCCCCAAACCAATCTCCTTTTCCTAGAGTACGAAGAAATATAGGATCTTCCCCAGGTGAATCTTCACGAGTGACGTTTACCTAATTAGGTGGTAATGCAAAGTAAGTTAGTAAATCAGTGTGTGTTTACCTTTCTCTCTCTCAAGCATACAGAATATTGATAGTCATAAGAACAAACTATTTTCCAGCCTCAGGTGCCAAGTGGAACACAGGACTAATAACTTACATTGCAGAATAGCTTCTAGAAACATCACTAAGGTATATTAGAAAACCATTAGAGCATGTAGGAAAAAACAGATTTAAATAGTTGTTATCTTTGGAAGACTTTAGGGTTAAATATTTGGATACCTATGCCTATTGAAAATACTAAAAGCATCTTTTGAAGTAAAACGTGATCCCTAGATAGTAATGCAAGATTATTTGCATATAATTAGCTTGAGAAACTACCTGAGTTCTTCTGAACTGATCAACTGCCAAAGAAATTAGAAATTTATTTTGAAGGGATCTGAGAGATTAAAGTCCTGCCCTTATTTTTGGTAGCTCTTTATTTATTTATTTCCAGAATATAATCAGCTCCAATCAATTCTCTAAGATGTGTAGGAAAGATCAACTTTGAGGATGGAAAAAGCTTTTCCCTCAGACACCGGAACTACCTAAAATTAGCTTTAATTTCAGTTCCACATGGACAGTTTTAAAAGGTTTTTGCACATTGTCTAGGGAGACAACCATCCAGGTCATGGTTGCCCCAAAGGTGCTTTTTTCAAGAGGCAACTGGACATTCTTGTTTTGCTTTGAAGACATTTCCACCCAAGAAACTTCTTCAGCTCTGACTGGATAGTGGGGAATGGAAGGATTTATATTCCTTGCAGGCAGTTGGTTATTTGCATTCTTTTTAGACAGTTGTTGAGACCACCGTTGGAGTCTTAGATGGCTAATTTGATCTGTCTTTCTTGAAGTCTGCAATTTTTCTGGAAATCTGGTTCATATTCCCGCACCATTCGAAGGGTGTTTATCCCAAAGTTGCATAGCTAAATGTCTACGGAGATTCTCAGTCATCCAGGTCATGGTTGCCCCAAATGGTCGCTTTTTTCAAAAGGCAACTGGACTTTCTTGTTTTTCTTTGAAGATGTTTCACTTCTCATCCAAGAAGCTGAAGAAGTTGCCTCTTGAAAAAAGCACCATTGGGTTCTGCACATCTTTGTTAACCACATAAAATTGGTTGTTGCAACCTTTCATGATCCCTGACTGACAAAGCATAACAGTGTTAAGATATCTATCTGACAGAGAGATCAGAAATTCTATGCCCATTGAGAATTTAAATTGAAGTTTTAAAGATTTAAGATCAGCATCTACAAACCAGTAAGAACTTCTCTTCAGAAGAACTTCACTGGTGTCCTCTTTAGTTTAATAAAGCTGGGTGAAGCTTTCTTCTTCATAATATTAGAAATACTTAGCATAAAATACAGGACATCACTGAATTAAGAATTGTCCTACTCCTCTGAAAGAATATTATGAGCTGACCTAATATTAAGTTATTCAGATATTTAAGTAATATAAATGGGGAGCTTTTGTACCTTGTATAATATGCACAGATTACATAAAATAATCCAGTGTTCTCAACCTGTGGTCCACGGATCCCTGGGGGGGGGGGCACAATGTCATCACAGGGGGCTGGCCAAGGCTTAAAGAAATGTTATGATTTAAATCTTGAGTTAAGAATTCTTGGGGGTCTGTAGTCATGGTCCATGGTCAAAAAAGGTATTTAAAGTGGGTCTGTGGTGAAGAAAAGGTTGAGAACCAGAGACAAGCCATTGTTTTGTAAGTAGGCTATTAGTAAGAAGGCTAACAGTTATTGGGATCAAGTATGTACTTTAAATCAGAGAATTGTGAAAATAAATGTACAATTGAAACCAGGGGTTCATCTTTTAGGTTTGATGGACTACCAGTTAGTGAGGGAAAGAACTTTGTTTTTATAAATAATAATTACATAACTATTACATATAGATTTTTGTATGTCCAAAGATGGAATAACTTACAGATTTCAACAATGGAAGAATGGAGGGTGAAGTTATTGGAACCAGCTGAAAGGGCAAAATTAACTAAAGAAAAGTCTTTGTCTAACTTTGTGTCTATATGGAAACCACTTTTGGACTAAAATCTGAAAGAAATGCTATATTCATTTTTGAATTTGACAGTTAGAATTGCTTATGATTATAGAAATACTGTGTACTGTTGAATTTTACATAAAAGTGTTCATATGTTTTACAGCTGTAACAATATCAAGAAAAGTTGGAAGTTAAATTTTCTATTTCTTTTCTTTTTTTCCTTATTCCTTTTGCAGCTTCACCTTTCTTGTTTTCTTCATAATTGTCTTTTCTTCTTTTTTATATTTTGTCTTTTGCAGAAATTTAATAAAGAACATTTTAAAAAGATAAACCATTGTTTAATCTGTCAGCAACTCAATGCCAAAGTAAAATATTTACAATTACTTAAATGCCATCTACAATCCAATTGTTCTTCTCTGAATAGATTTTATATAGGGATAGGAAATGGCAGGGTCAAATTTAGCATATTCCCAAGACATTTGCATTAACTGCTGGATATTTGTGTAATAAAACCTTTGTTCTGCCCTAGGAATGAGTGAAATCTTTTCAATCTCTATCATATTGACTCAGAAATATTTAGCTATCACCCAGCTTCTCAAAAAAAGAAACCTTGAAAGTCACTTGATTTATTTTTTTCCTCCAATTTATCCACTCAAATCTCAACACTGAACTGCCATATTCGGGCCAAGTGACCACTAGATGGCAGCAAAAAGATTAAGGAAACCTAGAAGCTTGTTAGCATCTTTTCCAACTATTAAACATTATGAAAAGGCTACAGTTCACTTTATCACATTTATGGAAAGGTTGTAAACTGATTTAAATTGGGATGAGGAGGGAAAGACAGATTAGAAGCACCTTATCCATCAACAACTGTTATTGTGTTTTTTGAGAACTTTTGACCTAGCTAGCCTGAAACCTTTTGACTTGAGTTCAGCAATCTCCTTCTCAATCATGATGTGAAAGTCTATTTTTTTTTCCAAAATTGTCATACTGATATCTATAAGGATATGTTCTGGGACACTGATATTACATTGTCTTTGTTATGATTCCTGATGGACTTGTGTCCATTAATTTTTTTGTACAAAATTTTTCTTTTGTTGGAAAATATCACAGCAGTAGAAGGACACGTGAAGACACTTCTAATCTTTTGTGTGTATCTGTTGGGGCCTGCAATGGTCTGTTGGTAGAGATGTGGGGACACAGTAGACATCTGTATTTGTTGCAGTTTAATTCCCATATTAGTATCCCTGTTCTGCTGTTAGTTATTTGTGAGAAGCTGTTGGGCAGTTGTCTATATGCAAATATGAAATGCAGTGCCATTATCTAGTATAGGTTGTAGGCTATTAATGAGTGGTTTGAACTGTGAGCTGTAGGCAAGTACATCTGCTGTTTTTGTGTCTGCTGTTTTTGTTTTTTAATAGGTTCTGTCTGGGAAACATTCTGGCTCTGTTAGTTTGTCTTTTGATCTTGGTTGGATAATTCAGTCTGCTGAGTGACTGGTTTAATTCTATCAATTCAGAATCTCTATCAAGTGTGTAAAATAAATGTATTTGTAGCCCATTGCCTAGTTTTATTCTGTAGATAGGTCAGAGCTAAGGATGATAGTGGAGTGGAAGCTACTGAAGTCTTGATGGAATTTGATTATTTTTTCCCAAGGTATCAGGTGATTAAATTGTCATTAATGAATTTCAGATAAAGAAGCTTTTCCAGGGAGAAGAGTTGACAAAGTGTTGTTTTAGATCAGCCATGAAGATGTTGGCTGGGCAACTGATTTGCAAGGATATACTATTGACATCTGCTAGACATTCAATTGAGATACAACAGTCCAATCCAAAACTCATATGACTATGGAGATTCTCAATCATCCAGTTCATGGTTGTCCCAAAGGTGTTTTTTTCAAAAGGCAACTGGACCTTGTTTCTTCCTTGAAGATATTTTGCTTTTCATCCAAGAAGCTTCTTCAATTCTGACTAAATGGTGGTGGTGGAGGGTGGGGGGAATGGAAGGATTTATATTTCTTGCTATCATCTGGTTTGTTAGCACTCTCTCTGAGAGTCATGGAGGCCACTTGGGGTGTTGTTTGTAACTTCAGTTATTTGCAAATGGGTGCGGAATCTTCTTGTAAATGTTGAAAGGACTCCATTGTAGACAGGAGATTGGTGTTGTCTTATGCCTTCCCTTCTGTTGAGAGAGGGCTACTCAGTTTTAACATAGATGGCCATTTGACCCCGCTTTCAAACCAGTGGTCCTCTCAATTTATTCTTATTTATTTATTTCAAATTTTAATTTATTTTTAATTTTATTAAAATCTTCATTAATACAAAAATACAAAAGAAAACAGGGAGGAAGAAGAAAAGGAAAACGTGAGGCAAAGGGAAAAAAGAAAGAAAAGCTGTTGCCTTCCCTTTGGTGTAATAGAATAAGATAATACCATCAAACCTCAACTTTTTACTTTTCCATAATATAAACTATGTTATCATCATCATCGTTTTAGCCATTATCTATCCACTGCAGGATGAAGGCTTCTTCTGCATGTTATATATCTGTGATGGTGAACCTCTGGCACGTGTGCCACAGCTGCCACACAGAGCCCTCTCTGTGGGCACGCGATCCGTCGCCCAGCTCAGCACCCCTGTGCATGCACACAAGCGCCTCCTGCCGACCAGCTGATTTTCGGAATGTGGAGGGAATGCATGTGGGAGACGTGTGCGCATGCACAGGGGGCAGGGGACACTCCCGCATGACCCATTTTTGGGCCTAGGAGGCTGCAGGGAGGCCTGCTAGGCCCAAAACGGGGGGCGGGGGTGTGTGGCACACATGCACGGGAGTGTGTGGGAAGCATGGGACGGGTTGTGCACACATGTGTGTGGGGGAGCACATCGCATTATGAGTACCGGCATGCTTTCAGCACACGAGAAGAAAAAGGTTAGCCATCATATGATGTTATATATGTTGAAGGCAGCAGGATTACTTTATGCTTAAAAATGGAAGGACACTTTGATTCCTATAATGGATGAATGGTTGTAAAAGTTGAAAGAGTTAGCAGAGATGGCCAAATTCACTGCTTTGATCAAAGAAAAAAAACACAATTATTTTTGTTTCTACTTGGAAACCGCATTTGGACTTTGTGCTTGAGGTGGAAAAAAATGAATCTCTCAATTTATTCTTATAAACAGAATAGCTGAGCAGGAAAAATGTGGACAAGCTCAGTTTTACCTCATGTGGTAACCTTTAAATGCTGCAAAACACCTGTACTTTTCAAAAGTTGCCATTCCCCGCCCCCCCCAAAAGGCTTTTGTAAGCCTTCTTAACTGCTGCTGTCACCAATGTTGTTCCTACTACACCTCCTATCACACCTCCTGGTGAATGGAAATTAAGGCAAGAGACAAGAGCAGACAGCTAGGTGGGAAGATTGCTTTGTAGATTCAGATTACTGAAGTAAAACTGTCATTTTCTCTTAATTTGCTTTAACACTTAATTATGGAGCTGAGGTCCAAGGATGAATTCAGAGAATTCCAACAACATCTTTAATTTGCAGTGTTTTTACGGATTTAGCAATTGCATTTAAAAAAAAAAAAACCCACTGAATTTAAAAAGTAATTTGCAACATATCCTGTGTAGTTAATGTATCAAAACTGATATATGAGGGCCAGTTCAATATGTAGATTTCCCGGGCATATTTTTGATATCATGGATGTTTATATTTTTATACAGGTTTATACAGGTTAGGAAGCATTTACCGAATAATGGATGGAAAAAATAAAACATGCAAATAAGCTTTGACAGGTTCATAATCATTCCTGTCAAGCAGTGAATAGGCTTAAATAAACAAACAACCTGGGAAGCTCAATGTTTACCCCAACTCAAAGTCACAACATTTAATCAAATATGAAAGTGTATAGATCCTCTCAGTGTTTGCAAAATAAAAAAAAAGCAAGGGCTGGTAACTTTAAACGGTGTCAGAAAAGCTTACCTTTCCTTTGCTGATTATGAAGAAAGTATCTCCCCGAGCACCTTGCCTGATAATGTGCTCTCCATTTTCATAGTGTGTCTGTGAGGGGAAAAGGCAAAAACAAAAGGAATCAAATCAGAACGTGTCACTAAAATAAAACACCTTCATTGTTTTTGTGAAGAAAATATAGGTAGACATGCCACAAACCCTGATAAAGCTGTGTAAAGGTTAACTCTAACTGCAAGTAGACTTGTCCCAAAGGTGCTTTTTCAGGAGGCAACCCGACTTCCTTGTTTTTTTTTCTTTGAAGTCGTTTCGCTTCTCATCCAAGAAGCTTCTTTAGCTCTGACTGGATGGTGGGGAATGGAAGGATTTATACTCCTTGCAGACAGCTGGTTATTTGCATCCTTTAGATAGAAATGACCAGCTGTCTGCAATGGAATAATTCCATTCCCCACTATCCTGTCAGAGTTGATTCCATTGCAGACAGTGGGTCATTTCCATCCAAAAGATGCAAATCACCAGCTTTCTGCAAGGAGTATAAATCCTTCCATTCCCCACAATCTTGTCAAATTTAATTTTAGATAAAAATGTTAATGTATTTTATACTTGTAACAATATTGAGGAAAGTTGGCAGTTAATCTTTTTCTATTTCTTTTCTTTCTTTATTCTTTTTTCATCTTCACCTTTCTTTTTTTCTTCATAGTTCATTTTTCCTTTTTTATATTTTACCTTTTGTAGAAATTTAATAAACAGGAATTAATAAATCGCTTATCACTTCAGCCTGACATTGTGGGCTGAGAAAGAGTGACTGTCCTAAAGTCGCCTAGCCAATTTTTATGACTAAAGAGGGACTAGAAGTCACAATATCCTGGTTTCTAGCCTTATGCCTTAACCACTAGGTTTGTCTCTCCATTTTACATTCTGGAGCTATTTTGAAAAAAGTTCTCATAAGTAGTAGTCCTTCCTTCCTTCCTTCCTTCCTTCCTTCCTTCCTTCCTTCCTTCCTTCCCTCCCTTTTTTCTTTCCTTCTTTCCTTCCTTTTTTCCTTTCCTCCTCCTCCCTCTCCCCATTCCTTCCTTCCTTCCTCCCTCCCTCCCTCCCCCAACACTTTCATTGGGCTAACATAATATATTATGTTATGTTTTATGTTAAGGTTACGCTATGTTATGATATGTTATAGTATAACATTAATAAAATTTATGTAGCACGATATAGATGGTTAAAATGATTGGAATTTATATTATGTTTTACAACCTAAAAGAGAACTTTTATAAAATGATGTACTGTTTATATATGATTCCAGAAAAATGTCTAAAAGGTATCAAAGTACTTCAAATGTGAACAACATGAAGACATTTTATTGTGCCTGGGAGACTTGTAAAAAGGTCAGAAATTTCTGCATTGAAATATATATAATGATTGAAAAAATGTTAAAGATCACTTTTCACCTGAAACCAGAACTTTTTTTTATGAGGGTTAATAGACACGCAATCAATAACTACATTTATTAGTAACTGAAAATCCTGACATTTTGCTGAAAATAGATAAAAATGAACCACGGTCAAAAAGATCAGAAGCCATTTCGTTTATCATTTTTTAAAAAATTCTTTCTCATTCTTATTCTCTCTTATTTTCTTTTCCATTTTTTAATAGTTAGGGTTCTAATAGCATTTTTTAAACTTATTAAAAATTTCTTCAATAAAAATAATCTTTTAAAAAGTAATCCTAAAGTTGATGTTTTGAATGGGAGGATTATTTATTCATCTCTATCTCGCTTTTATTATTTTTACAAATAACTCCAGGCAGTGAACACATCCAACACATCTTTCTTCTTTTATTTTCCCCACAACAACAACTCTATGATGTGAGTTGGGTTGAGAGAGAGAGTAACTGGCTCAAGTCATACAACCCACTTTCATGCTCTTCAACATCTTCATTAATGACTTGGACAAGGGGATAGATGGGGAACTCATCAAATTTGCAGATGACACCAAGCTGGCAGGAATAGCCAACACTCCAGAAGATAGGCTCAAGATACAGAAGGATCTTGACAGACTTGAACATTGGGCACTATCTAACAAAATGAAATTCAACAGTGAAAAAAGCAAGGTTCTACATTTAGGGAAGAAAAACCAAATGCACAGGTACAATATATGTGGTATCTTGCTCAATAGTAGTAACTGTGAGAGGGATCTTGGATGCCTAGTGGACAACTATTTAGATATGAGCCAGCAGTGTGCAGCAGCTGCCAAAAAAGCCAACACAGTTCTGGATTGCATAAGCAGAGGGATAGAATCAAGATCACGTGAAGTACCACTTTATAATGCCTTGGTAAGGCCACACTTGGAATATTGCATTCAGTTTTGGTCGCCATGATGTAAAAAAGATGTTGAGACTCTAGAAAGAGTGCAGAGAAGAGCAACAAAGTTGATTAGGGGACTGGAGGCTAAAACATATGAAGAACGGTTGCAGGAACTGGGTATGTCTAGTTTAATGAAGAGAAGGACTAGGGGAGACATGATAGCAGTGTTCCAATATCTCAGGGGTTGCCACAAAGAAGAGGGACTCAAACTATTCTTCAAAGCACCTGAAGGTAGAACAGGTTATCTTCGAGACCGCCTTCTACCGCATAGCTCCCAGTGACCTGTAAGATCTCACAGACTTGGTCTCCTCCAGGTCCCGTCAGTTAAACAATGCCAGCTGGCGGACCCACGGGGAGGACCTTCTCTGTGGCTGCCCCAGCTCCCTGGAACCAGTTACCTCCTGAGGTCCAGACCATCCCCACCCTACTGGCCTTCCAAAAAGCTGTGAAGACCTGGCTTTTCCGGCAGGCCTGGGGCCATTGATCTCGCTTTGCAATCTGGAGAGATCTGGCCAAGAATGGTGTGAATGTGTTCTAAGGTTTTTAATGTTTTTTAATCTTTTAAATTTTTTTAGAATGGTTTTTTTAAAAAAATGTATTGTGAGCCGCCCTGAGTGTCCGGAGAGGGGTGGCATATAAATTTAATAAATAAATAAATAAATAAATAAATAAATAAATAAATAAATAAATAAATAAATAAAGAAAGAAAGAAAGAAAGAAAGAAAGAAAGAAAGAAGAAATGGATGGAAACTAATCAGGGAGAGAAGCAATTTAGAACTAAGGAGAAATTTCCTGACAGTTAGAACAATTCATAAGTGCAACAACTTGCCTGAAGAAGTTGTGAATGCTCCAACACTGGAAATTTTTAGGAAGATGTTAGATAACCATTTGTCTGAAGTGGTGTAGGGTTTCCTGCCTGGGCAGGGGGTTGGACTAGAAGACCTCCAATTCTGTTATTCTATTCTATGGCTTAGGCAGGACTAAAACTCACAATCTCCTGGTTTCTAGCCAGGAATCTTAATCATTAGACCAGGGTTGTCAAACTCAAGGCCCGGAGGTTGGATCCGGCCTGCAAACAGCAAAGGATCGGCTTGTGGTGCCTCTGCGGTGAAAATGGAGCTTGAGAGGGCTGTGGGAGGCCCTCCTGACCTCCATTTTTGCTGGCAGAGGATTGCAGGAGGCTGTCGCAGCTGAAAATGGAGCTGGTGAGCCCGTTTTTGCTGGCAGAGCACTCGGGCAACCACAGGTGTCCTGACATGAGTGATGTTTTTTTTAAAAAAAAATTGATTTATATGCCGCCCTTCTCCGGAGACTCAGGGCGGCTTACAATGCGTTAAGCAATAGCCTTCATACTTTTGTATATTTTATACAAAGTCAGCTTATTGCCCTGACAAACTTGGGTCCTCAATTTAGCTACCTTAGAAAGGATGGAAGGCTGAGTCAACCTTGAGCCTGGTGAGATTCGAACTTACAGTAATTGCAGACAGCTGGTGTTAATCACAATGCTATCAGTCTGCTGAGCCACCATGTTGAGCTGGCCATGCCCACCCTAGCCATGCCCACCAAACCCCCCAAGATCAAACACAATCCTGATGCAGCCCTCAATGAAATAGAGTTTGACACCCCTGCATTAGACCAAACTGGCTTCATATTATTTGCGCCTGCCTGGTTCAACTACACAGTCATACACAAAGAGGCTGTGGAAGTAAAATAATTTGACTTTTCGAAAGCTCCTGAGGAACTAGCGTATTTTGATCAGCAAGGTGATCAAAATATTGCTAGATGATGTATCTATTGAATGAGATCCAAACCTGAACGGAAAAATTGTACTCAATTCTCATTAATCATTTCTCATTAAACAAGAAATTAGATATTAAAGAATGTCACAGTTCTGGCCTCTTTTCTCCTCAATAAAGAACTTGGAAGGAGATGTGAGAGGAACACTTACCAGATTTGCAAATGGCATGAAATTAAGTAGGGTTAAAAAAAACAACATAGAAAACAAAATTAAAATTCAAAAGGATCTTGAGCAGTGAGCTAAAAATAACAGAAAGAAATTTAGTAGACAGAAATGTGAAGTTGTTTGCTTGGGCAGTGCAGAGATAGGAGGTATGAGATGTTTGGTTTGGTAACAGCATACATGAAACAGATCTTAGTATTGTGTACATGAATTGAGCAGTGAGACATGGCTGAAAAGGGGCAAAGTGGTTTTTAGGCTGTATCAAAACTTGTTTCCCCAAAACTGGAAGTAATTGTTCCAATAAATTCTTCATTGGTCAGGCGCTTATCCTAATGCACTACTGGGCAGCACATTTAGAGAAAGGTGTACTGAAATGGATGCAAGGAAAGGAAATGATATCTCAATCTTATTAACAGAAAAGAAGACTTGTTCAAGTCACTGAATGGATGTTACATAGAAATATACTATATTGTAACATTATATTGTTATAGTAACACTATATTGCTAACTAGGGCATACAAAACCTTTGCCAGACCAATTCTTGAATACAGCTCGTCTGCCTGGAATCCACACTGTATATCGGACATTAATACAATTGAGCACATCCAGAGGCATTTCACGAGAAGAGTACTCCACTCCTCTGCTCACAATAGAATCCCTTATGCCACTAGGCTTCAAATTTTGGGCTTGGACAAGCTGGAACTGTGCCGCCTGCGGTCTGATCTAAGCATAGTACACAAAATTGTCTGCTACAATGTCTTACCTGTCAAAGAC